GCATGCCTGTTTGGAGAAGCATTGCCCTGTGATAGTTTTAAGTCAGATAGAGATAATACAGATGACAACTAGAATTATGGCAAAAAGGACGACTGGGGTAGAGAAGAGGTTGATAAAGGGTCTTTTGTTGTTGGAAACCCATAGGGCGATCCCAGTCTGTCCTACAGGGTCTCCATGAGCCAGAGTCGACGTGAGGGCAGTGAGTTTTGTTTTGGATGATTGCAAGGACGGTTTGCTTCCACCCTGAGCTACAATACTAAAAACAAATAGATGGTGTAAGATCGTTGGTGTACAGTGTCAACCCCGGAACAACCAACAAAATAACACAAAGAAATGCAGTTCAAAAGCCAATACATTAAAACAACCCAAAGCAAAGCAAGAAGGGAGAGCAGAGGCACAAAGACTGGGAAGGGTAAACAAAAACGAATGACCAAATTGCTGCCCTGAATCCAACCTTCATGGCAGAAATACACAAAGTAAAAGGCAGAGAGATGATCAGAATGGATTTTTAAAACAGTGATATTCAACTATATGCTGATGCAGGAACACACTTGAAATATAAAACTCAAACAGACTGAAAGTAAATAGATAAAAAAGAGGCGCCACACGCATAATATGCACATGAAAGATAACTATTTTACTACCAGGTAAATTAGACTTCAAATTAAAGATTATAATCAGATAAGAAGAAATATTTTATAATTATGAGAGGAAACATTGATCAGGGAGATAGATTATAAACAAATAAGCTCCTCACAGCAGAGCCTCAAGCAGAGTTGAAGGAACTAAAGGGAAACAAGACATTTTCACAATTAAGTATGGCATATTTTATACCCTCTCTTGAAATATTTGCCCAAACTGGATTTTAAAAAATCACTAATTACCTATTACACTATCGAGCATCATGATTTAATGGCCATCGAAAGAGGAGCCCTGGTGTTACAGTGGCTATGTGTTGAGCTATAACCTCTTGGCCGGCAGTTCAAAACTACCAGCAGCTTCACCGGAGAAAGACTGGGCTTTCTACTCACAGTAAAGAGTTAGTCTCAGAAACCCACCTGGGTCGCGATGAGGCAGCACTGACTTGCTAGCAGTGACTTTGGTTTGGTACACTAATAACTGCAGAACAAACACTCTTTCCAAGGGCCTATGGCCCAGAATAGACTGGACCACAAAACAAAATCCAATCCATTAAAAAGAACTGAGTATGTCCTCATCGTTATAGAGAGAATTATATATTGCACAGAGCATTATATTATAGAGAGTTTGCCCTCTGATCACCTTGGAGTTAATTAGAAACAGAAATCAATAAGCCATTTGGGAAAATACTTAACAGTACACTCATGTCATTCATAGATCAAAGAAAAAATTACAAAGGAAATTAGAGAACATTTTGAACTGAATTATTATGGAAACCCAAAGGAAGTCCATTACCATCAAGTTGATGCTGAGACCTAGCAACACTAGATGACAGATTAGAACTGCACCTTTGGGTTTCTGAGGCTGGAAATCTCTAAGCCTCATCTTTCACAGGTGGATTTGAACTGCTGACCTGGCAGTGAGCAGCCCAACCCACTACATCACCAGGATTCCTTGGATAATGATTCTAAATTTAACGAATTAATTAAAGTGAAACTAAGCCCACCACAAATGGACACATATGGCATGACGTCATTTATATGAAATGAAAAAGACAAGGCTCAGAGTTTTCCAGGATTCAGTGAGAGAAGGGGAGGGGAGCAGTGAGTGTTTATGAGGGGAAATATGGAATTGACTATGACTAGGGGTTACATACCGTAATCAATTTAATCGATATAACTTTGTTATATACCTGGCAAAGGATAAGTTGCTAGTGTTATATATATTTTTATAGCAATAAAAATGTTAATGGGACACAATTAAACAGTGTTTAAAAAAGTAGTTTTAAATGCACATAGTAGACAGGTCTAAAATTGATGACCTACGATTCCTCTTCAAGAATTTAAGAATGTATACCCAAAACAAACTGAATGCAGGAAACCAGTGGAGAGGTCTGGGGGGCTGGCCCCAGTCCCAAATACTAAGTGGATGCCTGCCCCTCCCCCAAGAAGAAGTTATTTCAAAGGATGGCACTGAATCCGCAGCTCTGGGAGAAGGATATATCTGA